CAGGTCACTCTGATGAACATTTAAATCAGTCATATAATAATAATAAACATACTAAATGGGGCTGTAATTGTTTAAAAGTTATTTAATATAGTCTGGAGCCAGTTCAGAGATATAGTGTCAGTAACCCATGTAAACACTGAAACATATATTGACATGCATACCATACATAAACACCCACACAGGTATATAAAGTAATCTATTTCATTACAAAATCAATATTGTTCATTGTTGCTTTTAAATATATATATTTATACACTCAACTTTGTTCAGCTTTGTTGTCCTTGGTTTAAGCTGTATGTCTATATTTTTTTTAAATCTTCCTGAAAATTGTTTTCAGAACTGTGTATAACATTGAGAGCAATGAAAATCCAGACTCAGTTTCTTGAGCACCTTATATATACTGTCAGTGGTGTACACATACTCGAACAATAAGGCTGATTTTCAAGGACGTGCATAAGACCAGGCTAAAGTGGTCAATTTGGCTGAGCTGCCCCCCCGGAGGTAAAAAAATAATAATAAGTTTAAGCCAAGACCAAATTACTAATCACCATATCATCCAAACCTAGTGAAGGAACTATGAAGAAAACATATTTTAAAGCATATAGGGGGGGGACTTTAAAAACCCATGAGCAGGAAATTGAAAATAGGACTTTTGAAGTACCTTGATGTGAATAGGTATTTAATTTATGCTATTAAATTCACTTGAATAGCCAAAACCTACACAGCCCCTGAAGTCCTGAGAAGAATTGTATTCTTTCAAGACTTTGGGGGCAAAAAAAAAACAAAAAACAGAGCAGGTGAGAATCTAATTATTTTATATATAAATGTCATTGAATTTACAGAAAATGTACTATCACAATATCTATCATGAAAATTTGACATTAAATTTGACCTGGTAGAAGTTTAAATCTATACGTGTAGTGAGTGGCTTACATAAATAAACATACTCTTGGCAATTAATTCTATCCATCATTGGGAACATCCAGTAACTATCATTCCTTCACTCAGCTTAATCACAAGATATTAATGGTTGGTAATGTACTTTGATGATTATAGGTACGATGATGCGATGTGGGAAAACGAAGTGTGAAAGCAAGCTGCAGCTGATCCTGGTTGCATAACCTGTGATAGCTGGAGAACACAACAGCTGGTCCATTTCACCAGAGTCAGAACACACACAAACACACACACACACACACACACACACACACACACCGCTGTAACCACCAGAGCACTAACCATCTCTGAAATTTAATATGTTTGTGTTCCTCTATGTGTTTTTTGGGAATGTGTTTGTGTTTGTGAGGTGGCTGCTTTTACCTGCGCTGGAACCCCATCCACTGAGGTTTCTCTGAGGACTTTACTCCCCGCCTTGCCCATGGTTGCACTGGCTGTTACATGAAAACAAAAACAAGCAGTTACAGCTCCTGCATAAAATGTGTCTTTGCTTCATTGCTGTAAGGTGTCAGGTTTGTAGAAATAGAGCTTTCACGTAATTTTTGTGACACATTTCCTTATTGCTGGAACAGCTCGGACTGCTCTGATATATGGAATTATGTACTGACAAACACTATATGACACATAGCGAACCGTAATATATGCAATCTCTCATTTGTATTATGGTTCTAATTTGAAATATGAGTCTATATATAAGAAAATGGTTCACAGTGTCAACAGGCCTGATAGATATGGAATCAGATTTGTGTCAATATAATCAACATAAACTTCTTTAAAAATGAAACAGACACACTAAACAGCAGCACTGGCGAACCCACTGGCTATCTCTACTGGATTCCTACAATATTAATAAAATGTAAGTATTGATATCGTCTGTGCTGTACTAGATGTTTAGTGTGTCCGTGAAATTAAAACAGCACAAACAAGAGAGCTGGCAGTGTAACTGCAAAGCCGAAATGTGTGATAAGTGGCAAAGAAACTGAGGGAACTATAAACAAAACAACATATTAATCAACAGTAAAAAATAAAAGAACCATGATTAAAACGCTTTCTTTTTTTTACTTTTGAGATTACAGTTTTATTTAATTATTGACACAAATCTGATTCCATAGATAGAGAACTGCCCCACTACTTGAAAACCACCAACAACGGCAAGACCAGAAGAGCAACGCTCTGTTGCTATATTTGGAGTTTTAATTAACAGCCAGAAACCAGAATGGTAGAAGGTCTCAGAAATAGATTCTGACACCTGCTACATGTAGAGACAAGTATCAAGAATGGCCTGTTGTACTGCTACTGGCAGCACCCAAAAGAAAAAGGGAGAGTTACATGATACAGTCACTGATCTGGAAATGGACAACTTTGGGATAAACAAGACCCAGGAAAGGAAGTATTTGAATTGCAGTTGAGCCAAGAAAACCAATGCACCTTTGTTATTATTATTGTGTGTGCATTTTGTTTTCTGATGAGATGGACACAGATAATCCCACAAATTTAGCGCTTCCTCATTCTTCACAATTGGCCAGGGTATGCTTGAAATTAACTAGTTTGTACAAAGACTTATTTTAAATGCTAAAGTGTTACATAATGACAACACTCAAAGGCAGGGTGAAAACCCTTTTAGAGCCCTTGAAAAGGTTGCTATTATTTTTCCTTTTCCCAGTACTGTACCCTGTAGGTACCCAATTTATGACTACTTTCCTCTAAAATGTGCAATCATTACTCCCTTGGTTCAGTCTTGCTTTCTGCCAATGTGGCTACCAATAGGAACCAGTATTTTATTGATACCTGATTCATATAACAAAATTTCACTGTATTATTAAGTGCTACTGACTATGAGTGCATTAAATAAATGTAAGCCCATCTTTGAGATTCAGCACATCACTCTGTGAGGTAGATGGGAGCTGGGAGCTTAATTTCATATATAAGAGCTTGCTAGTGAAACAGCGTGCATAGCTTATATTGTAAAAGCAGGGTAAACTGCAGCATAGGAATGAATGCAGTCTTCAGCCTTCAGTGATTTATCATGGAATGTTTACATGAAGCCTCTACCTTGTCACAAACTGGTTGACTGAGGTGCCTTAGTTCCTCTCTGCCGGAAAATTGCAATACAAAATACAAAACATGCACTAAGGTCACTGAACTCTAGAAATCATGTTCAATCCACAGCTAAGTTATAGTCATATTGTATATGCTTGGAGGAACGACCTTTTTCTTTAAAGATGGACACAGAGAGTTCACATGAAGCTGTTCCTGCTGCCTTTGATAAACTCTAAATGTATTGAGCTGAAGGGGATTCAAACCTTCGGGAGATCAATGTTATTTTAAAGAGTTAAGTGAAAGGTCAGTGGGACATTCATTCAGACTTCACGTTGGAATACTCTGAAAATTATAATTTGAAACTGACTTGATATTGATGTGTAAATTCATTTTATGGACATTTTTCTTCAGACAGTCAAAGATTTTTTGCCTTTGCTCAAAAGAACAACAAGCAGAATAACAAGAAGTCAGGTAGACGTGTTAACAAATAGAAATAAAATAAAATAATGTGGTTATTTCCTTTATTCATTGCTACATACATTACATTCAAAGATGAAATTCAAGCATTCGTTGGTGAATGAACCACTGTGATTAGGGTTAGGTTAGGATTAGGGAATTTGTACTGAAGGTTGTTTTCTTTT